AATGTTTGGTCCATTCTTTCAGGGATAAAATGAAATGTGGACAGAATTCCCTAGGAAAAGCTACAAGGATGATAAATGAACAACCTTTATGACATAAGGTGAAAGAGCACAGTTCTATATATGGAAGCATTTTCTGCATTATCATAACCTTAAAAATCAGCTTTTCTATAACACTAAGAAAAAGCATCATGCCAAAATTGTTACTGAAGGGGAAGGAAAACCAGGATGAAAAAGAATACCTTTCATGAAAACACTTTTGTAATAACAATGCTTTTCAACATAAATTCAGGGTATGTTGGTAAATTAGAATTGATTACTATATAATAGCTTCATTTCTTCAAAAATTAAATCTTGACTAGAAATTCATGAAAAAAATTTTTTTGCTACTTTAAACAGAAAGCCCAAATGACAGAATAAAACACTGATTGACTGAGATGCTATATTACATTATTAAATGGCATGTACCTATTTCCAATTGAGAAAACAGTAAGAATTCTTTTCAGGAAAATTCAAAAGTTAATTCATTATAAAGTAAGATATTAATAAATAATAATTTATTTTTATTATTCATTTTCTCAAATTTCTTCAGAGAAAGAAAATGATAACAAATATTTTACTAGATGGACTAGGAAAATGCACCCTTTGATAACTGGGGAAAAGGATCAAGAAGCAGTCACAGTGAAAAGTAAATGTGATAGAAAGTGTGATGGTAAAGGCAGGTTTACTAATGCCCCAGGCATCACAAGGATAGGCCTCAACACCATGCTGGGGCATCACAGTGCCTGGGAAAGCATCCAGTGACTTTTGGTCCCTCACAGTCCAAGTTCAGGGAGATTCATTCCTCCAGTCCTCCTCCCTTGTGGGATCACCTGTGTTACTAGACCACACCATCCTCTACCAAGAGTGTGTGATACTGTGTTGTGCCAAATTGTGTCCAGAACACAGAAGGCGGCAGAAACCAGAGCTACATGGAATTTATGACTCTTACTTCCCTCAAACACTTTTTTTCCTCTATTATATTACATAACTATCTCTTCTGATGAAGCTTAATACGATAGCATATTAAAAAGCAGAGACATTACTTTGCCAACAAAGGTCCGTCTAATCAAGGCTATGGTTTTTCCAGTGGTCATGTATGGATGTGAGAGTTGGACTGTGAAGAAAGCTGAGCACTGAGAATTGATGCTTTTGAACTGTGGTGTTGGAGAAGACTCTTGAGAGTCCCTTGGACTGCATGGAGATCTAACTGGTCCATCCTAAAGGAGATCAGTCCTGGGTGTTCATTGGAAGGACTGATGCTGAAGCTGAAACTCCAATGCTTTGGCCACCTCGTGCGAAGAGTTGACTTATTGGAAAAGACCCTGATGCTGGGAGGGATTGGGGGCAAGAGGAGAAGGGGACGACAGAGGATGAGATGGCTGGATGGCATCACCGACTCGATGGGCGCGAGTTGAGTAAACTCCGGGAGTTGGTGTTGGACAGGGAGGCTGGCGTGCTGCGATTCATGGTGTCGCAAAGAGTCGGACACAACTGAGCGACTGAACTGAACTGAAGCACACACTTCTAATGGCTCAGCTCGTAAAGAATCCACCTGCAATGCAGGAGGCCTGATTCAATTCCTGGCTCAGGAAGTTCCCCTGGATGAGAGATGGGCTGCCCATTCCAACATTCTTGGGATTCCTTGGTGGCTCAGATGCTAAAGAATCCACCTACAATGTGGGAGACCTGGGTTCGATCCCTGACTTGGAAAGATCTCCTGGAGGAGGGCATGGCAACTCACTCCAGTATTTTTGCCTGGAGAATCCCCATGGACAGAAGAGCCTGACAGGCTATAGTCCATGAGGTCGCAAAGTCAGACATGACTGAGTGACTAAGCAGAGCACACACCCCCTCATCTTGTCAGCAAACTCACCCTTGGGAAGTATTGTTATAAACCTCTTCATCAAAGCTTTCTGAGGAGGGGCGAGGGTACACACACAGCTTTTCAAGGCAGGAGCCCGCTGTGTCCCCCTTTGTCTGGCAAAGTAAAAAGGCTATCCTTTTCTACTTCATCCAAAATTCTGTCTCTGAGATGCAATTCAGCTGTACACCGGTGTAGAGAGAAGCTTGAGCTTTCTCGGCATCAGCAGTTCATCTGTAAAGTGGTGGTAATTATATTATCAGCCTCATAGGGTTTGTTGTGAGGTTTTAAAATACAGGAATAAAAACAAAGAGCTTAGGAGAGTGCATTTGAAGTGTTATCTAAGTGTTAACTCTCGATACTCTAAAGAAAAGCATCATGGGACACCAGGGAGCAGAGTAACTTGCCCGAGGTGCTGGATCAGAGCCCAGCCCAGAGCCCTGGCAGCCTGGCCCAGGAGGCAGCAGCTCTTAACCTCATGGGTGTGGCCTGACATTCAACTCTTTTCTGTGCCAGAATGTCAGGCTTTTGTTATGTTGCTTCATTTCAGCTTCGTAACATCTCCACTTTACAAAGATGAAAACCAAGCATGCTAGTCACTGCCTAGCATAGTGGGGATACTTTGGACACTTTGGTGACAAAGGATCCCACCCTAAAGGAACATGCAAGTTTAGAGACACTACAGAACTTGCCTACAGGCACCAACTATGAGGAAAAAGGGGTGGGATGTAAACCAGGCTGCATGCTTCCTTCACTGTGCATACACATCACTGCATGGAAACAGGAAGTTTCTCCAGCAGAAAACCAGCATAAGAGGAGAGAACTCATTTTCTGGTAGAGAAACCTTTGCACAAGGCCCAGTCTCTCCAGAGTTAGTAGCTGGCTTAACCCTTTGTACACCTCAAGTTTTCAACAGCCACAGGAAGTTTTTCCTGTAGTGACATATTTCATCACATACAGGGAAGGAATGAGAAACCAGTTTGCATTTAACTGGTTGATAACATGCTCTGAAGTGAAGACTGCCATAATATGAAATACCATAAAAGCCTGGCATAAAGGTGCTTGATTAATTTTCACACACACACACACACACACACACACACACACAGACGCACACAGACACACACACACACACACACACACACAAGTATCAAATGAATAAATTTTTGTGGAAAGTGCACACATTTATACCCATGAGCACACACATACATTTATTTCTAAATCTGTCTAGATATGTGATGGAGAAACTCTGGATGTTTTCTTTAAGCTTGCCGTATACAACCTGAACCCCTGGTGAGTCCACTCAGTGCATTTGAATAGATGGACCTGCAGGATTAAGCCATTAAAAGCGGCCCCTCTCATTGTAAGAGCGAATCAGACCTCCTCAGACAAGTCAGTGGAGATGACAGCTGTCCAGGCCTCTAACACTCACAGTCAGGCACCCCACTGAATTAACTCGTGACTCCCCAACTTAAAAAGAATCTGTTCCTGATCTAATTATGGATTCACCAGTTTCAAGTCAGAGATGTCACCACTGCTTACGAAAAATCTCAAAATTTTGTAGAGCAAGCTCTGCGTATCAATTTGAGATACAAAGGAATAGAACTACATTAACACAGACCTTTGCCCACAGAATAAGTCCGAAATAAATTAAACCTGGAAGTTTACATTGAGAAACTAAATAATAAATAAAATGTCCCACTAATAACTTAATGCTTTAAGAAACCTTTGAGAAAGCAATCCCTGCCTAGGTTTACTTGGAAGCCTGAAAAGTAATTGCAGCGTAAGCCTGTGGATTGCAGCATTCTGAGTATGACCACAGCAAAACAATTCCAAACAAGTCTTTATATGAACTTATTAGGCCATGAAAACCTATGCAATCCTGCCTAACAAAGTTAATGTGATTATTCTGACCTGAATCCACAGATTTACAACTTTAAAGGTGGAGTGCGAGGGGTCAACCAAACTAAGCATCTTTTCTTCACCAGGCCTACTGAGGTATACTTGATATACAACAACTTGCACACATTTAATGTATCCATTTTGATGAGTTTGGACCTACTTGATACCAGGATACCATCATCACAACCCTGAGAGGGCATCTCCTCTGCAGGTCTAGTGAGGAGAACCCAGCAACACCCCCCACTTAGTGAGGGCTCAGATGGGCTTGTCTGTTTTCGTTTTCCTCCTCCTTTCACCCTGAGTGTAGAGTCTGTCCGACTCTTCTCCCTGGGTAGATCAGTCAACCCCACCGCTCTGTACACAACATGATTTCTAAATAGTGGACTCTCCTGAACCCACTCTTTTCTCTTTCTTGTGTATAATAAAATCCCTTGGCTTTCTTATTCAACACATTTCTCTTTTTAATCCTCACAACTTCCCTATCAGGCAGGTTTAGAGATGAGTCATCTAACCCTCAAAAGGGTTAAGAAACTGCTTTAATGCAACTAGGTATTTAGCCACATCACATAACGCTATAGATGGGTGTCAAGGCAGTGGAATTCCGAGGAGCGGAGGTGAATTGCTGGGGACTTTGCAAAATAAAGTCCTTATGCCATCTGTTCTGTTTCTCTCCCTGCTGTCCCCACAAAGAAACTTCCAACGCTCTGCATTTACATAAAGTTTACAGCAGTAGGGTGTCCAAAGTTTTTATGCTGCCATACTATTTGGAGGTCAGCTGCTACTAAAAGTATGTCTGCGCCACGAGGTAAATGCTGGGGGTGGGTACAGAAACTCTGCCAGGGGAGGCACCACACGGATCTGTTGGGCTCTGTCCCGGGCTGACTCTCCTCTGCCATCTCCAGGGGGCGGATGGCCCCAGGGTGGTCTCCCCTGGTTCTTCACTTACTTGGCTTGCTTCCTCTGGGAAGTGGGGGCTGTCTCCATACCTGTCCTTCTCCCCTGAATCAAATTATAAAGATAATGAGCAATTTCAGGCCTTTCTTGTAGAATACCTCCTAATCAAAAACAAGTGCTCCATTCCCATGGTTTCACAGAACACAGAAGGGGAGACCTGGGCCACCTGCCTACACCTGCGCTCTCTCACCACTCTCAGCGCAGAAGAAGGGCGTGGGGAGGGGCCTCCCAGAGCGAGTCACACCTGAGGATCCGCAGCACCTTCAGCCTCCGTCACGGTCACCTGTTTGTCACTGTTCTCTTCGTCTTGTGCAAGTGCTTAAGTAAAAAAAAAGAAAAGAGAGAAAGAAAGAAAGAAAAAGAACAATATTAAGAACAATATTATGTAGCATCATAAGAAAATTGTTTCAGGTCATTTTCTTTTCAGATGGCAATTTGTCAGGAAAAAAGAATGTTAGGTAGAGACCCAAAAAGTAAGTATCACTACTATTTTTTACAATAAATTATTTGGATGAATAGTTTCACTAATACACTGGGCATTTTTCATACTCATTATCTCATTTGTTAAACCAGTAGCACTGGAAATATCCAATCTCAATTCTTCTTGTCACCTCAGCCCACCCAGACATCATCATGCCAGTTACGTGCTTTACCAAAGGGGAACAGGGGTAGAGAGAAAGACTTCTACCCAGTTCACATGAGAATACCATATTTTTTATGTCATTTTTTAGGCTAATAGTTTAGTGTTATCCCAGATGGCTCAGGCGGTAAAGAATCTGCCTGCAACGCCAGAGACCTAAATTCGATCCCCGAGTTGGGAAGATCCCCTGGAGAATGGAATGGCAACCCACTCCAGTATTCTTGCCTGGGAAATCCATGGGCAGAGGAGCCTGGAGGGCTATAGTCCATGGGGTCACAAAAGAGTCGGACATGACTGAGCAACTAACACATATTATGAAGGAAGCATGATTTTTCTTAAAATTAGAGTATAATTTACAATATTGTCTTAGTTTCAAGTATATAGTAAAGTGATTCAGTTACACATATGTATATTCTTTTTTAGATTCTTTTCCATTATAGTTTATTACAAGATATTGAATATAGCTCCCTGTACTATACAGTAAGACCTTGTTATTTACCTATTTTACATGTAGTACTGTTCACCTGCTAATCCCAAACTTGTAATTTCTCCATGCCCCAACTTCCCCTTTTGGTAACAATACATTAGTTTTCTAAGTCTATGAATCTGTTTGTTTTAGAAATAAGTTCATTTGTATCATTTTTTGAGATTCCACGTGTAAGTGACATGCTACGATATCTGTCTTTCTCTTTCTGCCTTACTTCAATTAGTGTGATAACCTCTAGGTACATCCATGATGTTACAAATGGCATTATTTCATTCTTCTTAATGACTGAGTGAAATTCCACTGTATATCTGTGCCACATCTTCCTTATCCATTCCTCTGTCAGTGTACATTTAGGTGCTTCCATGTCTTGGCTTTTGTAAATAGTGCTGCAGTGAGCTTTGGGGTGCATGGATCTTTTTGAATTAAGTTTTCTCTGGATATATGCCCAGGAGTGGGAATGCTAGAAGAAGCATGATTATTTTATATCTGGACTGCATGGAGCATTGTTACCACAAAATTCTAAACTATGGAGTCTTGAATCGACCTCTTCTCCCGTATTTCCACAGCATCTCCCTATCAAAGTCCTTGTCACCCTTTCTGCACTGGTGCAATAACCTGCTACCACAGAGCCCCTGATTCCAGCCTCTCCTTACTAAAATCTAGCTTGAGCAGAACTGTTAATAATTAGCTTCAGAAAATACAACAATAAATACAGTGCTCTGGCCTCTGTATTGCTTATCTCATCAACTCTGAACACTGTTCATCATGGAAGGTCATCCTTGAACTCTCTGGCTTCCTCATCTCTGACTTCCCACTGACATTCAATGTCAGAATGTAGTGTACCCAGCTCTGATGCAAACTCCATGATTTCATCATTTTTCTCCTTACACAGCTTGCTCTGCCATTTTAACAAATATGTACTTAGCACCTGCTAGGTGCCTGGCACTGGGATTACACCTGTGAACAAGACAGGTAAGCCTGTGACCTCGTGAAGGACACACATCACCTGGGGAATGGCTAACAACTACTGCTGCAACTAGTAACAATCACAATAATTAGAACAATAATCTTTAAAAACGAGATAGGAGTAAAAATCATAATAAATAGGGAAATGACAGAAAACCAACTGAGGGAGGTCACTGCGGAGAGCAGGCCAGGCGTGCTGCTTCTTTGAAGAAGCGATACTTGTGCTGAGACTGGTGGTTGAGACACATGGCGGGTGAGAGTGATGCAAGCCAGGCCTGGAGACAGCATGGACCGCAATGTGGATGTGAGTCTGAGAACACGGGGTTGGGGGGTGGGGGGGCACTCAGTTCAGTTCAGTCACGCCCGGCTCTTTGAGACCCCATGAACCACAGCACGAAAGGCCTCCCCATCCATCACCAACTTCCAGAGTCCACCCACACCCATGTCCATTGAGTCAATGATGCCATCCAACCACCTCATCCTCTGTCACCCCCCTCTCCTCCTGCCTCCAATCTTTCCCAGCATCAGGGTCTTTTCAAATGAGTCAACTCTTTGCATGAGGTGGCCAAAGTATTGGAGTTTCAGCTTCAGCATCAGTCCTTCCAATGAACACCCAGGACTGATCTCCTTTAGGATGGACTGGTTGGATCTCCTTGCAGTCCAAGGGACTCTNAGGTCAGGTGGTCTGGTATTCCCATCTCTTTCAGAATTTTCCACAGTTTATTGTGATCCACACAGTCAAAGGCTTTGGCATAGTCAATAAAGCAGAAATAGATGTTTTTCTGGAACTCTCTTGCTTTTTCGATGATCCAGCAGATGTTGGCAATTTGATCTCTGGTTCCTCTGCCTTTTCTAAATCCAGCTTGAACATCTGGAAGTTCATGGTTCACATATTGTTGAAGCCTGGCTAAGGAATTTTAAATTGGGGACATGATGTCTATTTTCAAAAGTTCTGTTTACCTGCTTTGAGGAGACCAGGCTTAGGAGAAGCACGGCAGGAAGCAGGGAGCCCAGTTAGGTGACCATGGCTTACGATCTGGGCTAGAAATGACCACAGCACAGACCGGGGTGGCGGGAGGGGGCCAGATGAGCTGAAGCAACAGGGAGAATCTGAGCTGTGCTTCTGAGACATAATTTGCCAATGAACTGAATACCAGAGGCACGGGACCGCATGGGAATGGGGGCGGGGGGCGGGGGGCAGGGAGGTTAGTGAGAAAAGGCAATCCAGAATGATACCTGAGTAGAATAAGCCGTTGCCTGTGCCCACTGTACCACTTATTCTTTTTGCCTTCTCCATCAACAGCAGGCCCCAAACACAGTACCCTGCCGACAGTGAGGTCGCCCACTGTGCTTTTGGATTCAGTTGGCACTGTTTGGTGTACTTTTAAGTGCTATGCTCTCTACTCTGTATTCTTTCAAGCATTATTTCATGTACCTTTTGCTTTTATGTGTCTCTTATGCCCACTGAGTGGCACTCGCCATGGCGCCCACCTAAAATGCTGCGCACTCACTGTGAGTGCTGTAAAAATTAACTGAGATGAACAATTTCTCCCCAAGGGACCAAAAAGGCACACACTGATTATACCTACATACCTAAGCTATGTCTTTCATAGCCATTTATGAAAAAAGGAGGGAGGGATAGTCTTCTCTTAAACTCCATGGAAAACCAGGATAACTCCTACCAGCTGAGCATTATAAAGCAAGGCAGGAACAAGAGAAGCCGACAGAAGCTTTTCTTCTGTTATCAGCAAAAAGTTCCATTCACGCTCGTTCAGAGGGGGCCCTCTGTTGAAACTGTTGCCCAATTAGGAGGAAATTTAAGAATAAAAAAAAAAACTAATATTTTCTCTGAAAAACTAGAGACAGAAATGAAAAGGGAATATTAAAATACAAAATAATATCTACAATTCTACTTAAAAATGCAGTAGGTTGTAGAAATAAGTAAACTATCTGAAATATTGTAAGAACCCTTTCTTCATCCTGTAACAAGGAACAGTGTTCCTAGAGGGCAAGTCAACAATATGCCAACAGGGAACAACTGTGCCTGCATTAAGTACTCACTATACCTTGGCACTTAATTTATGCTTTACTTGAATTTTTGCTCTTTAAAGTTTTAGTTTTGACGAAAAAAAAAGAAAATTAAATTTTGGAGTATTTTGGCCTGTTAAATGCGTGTTTCTGTTTTTAAAACAATAATGTTCTGATGTCTATGCATTTCTTTTTTTCATCTTATTATACTGCATCATACAACATGCAAGATCAGTCAATCAGTTCAGTTAGTTCAGTCGCTCAGTCTTGTCCGACTCTTTGTGATCCCATGGACTGCAGCACGAAAGGCTTCCCTGTCCATCACCAATTCCCGGAATTTACTCAAACTCATGTCCACTGAGTCGGTGATGCCATCCAGCCATCTCATCCTCTGTCATGCCCTTCTCGTCCTGCCCCCAATCCCTCCCAGCATAAGGGTCTTTTCCAATGAGTCAGTTCTTCGCATCAGGTGGCCAAAGGATTGGAGTTTCAGCTTCAGCATCAGTCCTTCGATGAATGTTCAGGACTGATTTCCTTTAGGATGGACTGGTTGGATCTCCTTGCAGTCCAAGGGATTCTTAAGAGTCTTCTTCAACACCACAATTCAAAAGCATCAATTCTTCAGCACTTAGCTTTCTTTATAGTCCAACTCTCACATCTACACATGACTACTGGAAAACCCATAGCTTTGACTAGATGGACGTTTATTGGTAAAGTAATGTCTCTGCTTTTTAATATGCTATCTAGGTTGGTCATGACTTTTCTTCCAAGGAGTAAGCGTCTTTTAATTTCATGGCTGTAGTCACTATCTGCAGTGATTTTGGAGTCCAAAAAAATAAAGTCAGCCACTGTTTCCACTGTTTCCCCATCTATTTGCCATGAAGTGATGGGACCAGATGCCATGATCTTAGTTTTCTGAATGTTAAGCTTTAAGCCAACTTTTTCACTCTCCTCTTTCACTTTCATCAAGAGGCTTTTTA